TAAATAAAGTAATATTCAATTAATCAATATATATATATATCTAAACAATAAATATATAAATGATAATCAATAATAAATTGTCAATATTTTGTTTATCTAAGAAGAAGTTTAATTAATGAAATAAATGATTTGAAAAAAACAAAATTTTTTGTTTTAATTGATAATTGAATATTATTTTAAATAAAGATTTATCATATATATATATTATATTTAGTTCAATTAAAATAATTAAAAAATAAAAAATGAAAAAAAAGAACTAAACCTGCTTGAATTGATGATGATAAAACATTTGATGTTAAATTTGTTTGAATATCTGTTGTTCTATGATTTGTTTGATAATTTGAATAAGAAAATAAATATTATATTCGTTAGATCTTTTTTTTTTCGCCAGATATTAAGAGAAACTTTTTATTTTACACTGATGAAATAAGTTCACTTATATATATATTATTTATATTTAATGAAATATATATTAGCATAATAGAATTATATTAAATATGTAACAATTCTTATATTATACTATAGAATATATGATAAACAAATAAAATATATTGTTAATAATAAGTGAGAATATCTCAAGACTAATTAGGTAGAGCACAAGAATTAATGTTGAGATTATAGTCCTATGATGATATTCTGTAGAAGAATATCATATCAAGATAAATAAAATAGAAAAATAAATAGTAATATTGATTATTGTATTGAAAGAGTCCTATGTCTAACATTACTATTGTGATGAGAAGGAAGATATGACTAATTTAGCTACTAGAATAATTTCACTTTTATAGAGTCAGAAAGAGAAGAATAACTCAAATCGATATACCAGCCGATTCCGTGTAACGGTTCAAATTCTGTCTTTTAGGTATTAATGTAGTTGAATAATGGGACAATTACATGATAATAGAAGGTATTTATTGAATTTTAATGTATTATTTTCTAACATAATGCATTAAAATTCCTAGAATAGATTCGATTCCAGATAGGGGAATCAAATCGAATCAGTGAATAATTTTGATTCAACTCTACTGAATTGAATTGAATCTAAATGAATATTTTCTTATTGTTTTCGGTCTCTGTTGTATTATCATGTAATTGTATGCATTATTTTTATAGGATTAATATAGATAATATTTTAAACTAGACAGATATAAAATGTATCTTTGAAGTTTTTTCCTAAAAAATTTTCGAAATATAACCAAGAGTCGAATTTTAGGGTAATAATTATTTTTGTATCACTCTTATCCTATCCTATTATAAGAAGTTTCTACTTTAACTGTATACTTTAGAATTCTGTTCTAATAATATTTTTTTATTAAATATTAAATAAGAGAAACAATTTAATGATATATTTTCATTTGAGAAATCTTTTTAAATAAATAAAATCTTAGTTTGATTAATTGAAATAGATTTTCTTTTTTTTGTTTAATAAATAAATATATTTATTTTTCAATTATATATTTAAAACATTTTTTTATTTTTTGTTTTTCAATTTCAATTGATTTGATTTATTAATCGTTATTTATTTATTTGAGAATTTTATTTTGTTTTCAATAATATTATTAAATAAAATATTTAAATTCATTTATTATATAAATCTCGATAATTAAATCATTATTTTATCTTTAAATAATTTTAAATTAAATTAAAAGAATTAAAAAAAAGAATTTTTGTTAATAATTAAATAAATTTCAGGTGCAAATAATACAGTACGAACAACTCGAACTCGAACTGAAGATGGAAAATTTTTAACAACTATTTCAACAATATCAAAAATAAACAATTCAAATGATATTCAAGATAATATTCTTATTAATAGAAATGAAAAAAATCTTTTTTTTGGTCATCAAACAAATCATTCTATTAAACGAACACTTTCAGATGATTCAAATTCAAATTGTTTAACTAGTTTAACAAAAAAAGTTTTACAAATTGAAAAAGATCGACAAAATATTGAAGAATATTAACTTGTTTTTGTTTTTTTTTGTTCTTCGTTAATTTGATTTATATTAAACAATAAATCTCATTTAAAAAATAAAACATTATTATTATTATTAGAATTCAATTCACTTAAACATATTTAATTATTTCTTTTTCAATAGTTTACATTTATTAACAAATAAATATAAGAAAAAACAAAACAAATTCTTTTCAAGAATTTTGCCAATGAAGATTAACATTTAAGATACTCCTCAAAGAAAGGTTCCACAACTATTTTCGTGCCCTTTTGTCACAGATTTACATAGATCTTGTTCTTGTAAAATAAAACTATCATAATATTGTTGTTGTCATTGTGTTGTTTAATACTTGATGTGTTTATTTTAATTCGAATACAACATATGCTAAAATATAAGAGAGCAGAATCAAAAGTAGATTTTATAGAAAAATACTCGTCAGACTCTTTTTCTTTTATTCTTCCTTGAGATTCTTTAGAGATTTTTATTTGACTAATCCATAGAGTATACAAGTTTTCTCTATTAAATAAATCTTACAGTTATATTTCTATAATTGATTTTTTAGAAGCATTTCATAATATTGGTATAATAGTACTATAGTTCATCCAAAAAGTCGGTGCGTGTCATTATTTTTTGAATAATTCGAAAATAGAAATTGATAGAGACCTGCAGTTTTCACCATTCAAAAGAGCATTATCAGTAGCATATATCTACCTAAGACACATCAGATTAAATGCATTTGTTTATGCCTTTCTTTTTAACTAACATTTTTTCGTTGCCGTTTTTTCATTTAATTTTCCAAGCGTTTCAACTCAAATTATACAAAAATCAAGTCAAAACCACGTTATATTCAAACATAAATCGATCCTCTGAACTATGGTCGGAAGTAAAAATGTCGAAAATTGAGTAGGGGATTCATAAAAAATGCTTTATGCAGAAAAAAACCAAGTAGCTTTATTCAAATCAAATGTTTACTATATTAAAAAATAAAAGTGAACGACAAGCAAAATACTTCAAAACAGTAGTTAATTGATGTTAAAAAATATTCTCATTGAATAATCATACTTTTTTTTGCTACAGTCAATGGCAAGCTGTCGAGGAGATCAGATATTGTAATCAAATATTAATTACATCGACTATGCAACGTATTTATTCGATTTTGTAATGCTGCTGTTCTTTTGATTTTCTGCTTCGATGCACCGGAAGACCATTGAAGTATAATATTCTGTACACGTTTGTCCTCTACTTTCATAAAATCGATAAAATGCCATATATTTGGGTGATTTCGATAAATACGAGAATTCATTCTATTGTGACAATCTGCAGTTAGAAAGAGCAAAGAGATCGTTTTACTTCATCAAACATATAGCCTCACCTTCACAAATCTTGTTTGTCCGACTATCAAAGCCATATACATTCCATAAATCAATATCCGACATCCAGTTGTTGTCAAAATATTCCAATAGTCGAATCATTGGCAAGCCAGGAAAAGATCATCAGATTCTCATATATCATCCAAACCATGTAAAATTTTATCACATGGCATCAATGAAAAACCCATAAACTTTCTACATAAAACTCATGTTTCATGAAGCATGTACTGCTGTTACAGTCCCAGAAACTGGATATGCCTATAGATCGCCTGAGAAAAATGGAAATAATAGCCAATATGTTGATTTGTTGGAAACTGAAAAGAAACCAAATAGAATAAATGTGGAAACCTCGGATTTAAATCCGAGAGTTATGTGTACTTCAAAAAGTGAATTAGACAGATGAGTCATCCTAGAATATGTGGACTTCAAAATTATCCTCGCAAACATTTTCCATAAACACATGAATTCTATTGACTACTGCTCAACCAATAGGATTTAGGGGCGAATGCAGCTCAGATTTGAACTCTTCGCATTGAATTACCTTAAGAAAGTCGTTTTCCCCCATAACTTGATTTCTATTGGTCCCTGCTCAACCAATGGTATTTCGAGGCAATTGGAGCACAGATTCGAGTTCTCCATCCCAGAAAACCTCGAACTATTATCTCTGTGATCGGAAGATAGAGCTCTAATTGTGAATCAATTAGAGTGTGGACAAAAACAGAACCGAATTTTGTTTAATTATCTTTGCAATGGCTGAGTTGACTTTCTTGTTTCCTTATGTTTTATATACCATTTTGTAGCTCGTGAAATTCTCTATCGAATGGTATATAATAGTTGGGGTTTTATTTGACTATGATAGGAAAAGTTTTTCACGAAAGCGGGGATGGGTCGATTTTCGCATAGGAAACCATAGAAAAAAATGACTATTTTTGCCATAACTCAGCAATGACTCGACCAATCATTCTCATCTTCGAACTCAACCGAGACACTGTTGAGACTAAACTGTATAGAAAATTTCATCGCGATCGGACTCTCCTTTCAAAAGTTATCGTGTAAACGGCCGGACGGACACACTGACTGATTCTAGAGTGTACTCACTTTTTGAGTACACAAAAAGGTGTTTTTCCGATTAAGATATTATACACTTCATCTTTTAATGCAGAAGTTGAACCTGATTCGAAATCGGTCATAATAACCGAGGGTGAAAAAACTGTTTTCTTTCTTAAAGCAACATTTTGTAATTCAGAAAAAATTTGTTTGTTTGTTGCAGCTTTCTTATTCATCAATAAACCGAACACACACGGCACACCTGACAATAAATGACAACAAGCTTTCAAAAGAAAACTAACAATCTTGCTTACAAATATCAAAATGTACTATATGTATTATGCATATTTGATTGAATTGTGATGGAGCTTTTTTAAATGTACCATCCATGTAGATGATTGATGCATTGAATAATAAATCAAGCTGAGTATCGCTTGCAAAAAGTAATAAACGTTCACGTCTTACGAGAGCTTCATCGATTAACAAAAACCTTTTTTTTTCAATTGTTAATTTAAATTTATTAGGAATATCAAACAGACATGATTCTGGTGATGATGGTACCATTTTACGTCGATTTTTAGCAGCGACATGATCTAAAAAAGATAAATTAATTTATTAATTAATGCTTATTAAACAACTTACACATTTCATGCATTGTTGGAAATATCGCTACTGCCACTGAATTCATAAATTTTTTCGTCATCTCTTCATCATAGATTTTTCTGATAGGTGTAACCTCGTTTAGTACATGTTGCTTTATGTGTACACGAGTGTTTTTTTACTTGAATAGATTCAGGATTAGCTGGGTATTCATCACCAGTTTTATCGCCAGACAAATAATTCTGATTTATATCAGTATGAACATATTCGTCACAACCTTTAACTACACACACCCAATACTTTTTATTGGGCTTTTTTTTTGTTGCATTTGTATATGTATTGATTCATTATTAAAAGAGGTTGTCCCTTATTCGAACTAATGAAATTTAAGTCACTGTTGATGTTGCGTACCAATTCAGTGGCGCCGTCCATATGTATATTTGTCACTCGAATAATGAACAACTCAAGAGTAATTTTCTTATTCTTCTCTATTACTTTGTATTAAGTGATCAATGTCTGATCAACCAATGATAGATTTAGATTTAAAAGAACATAAGTCGCCATTGATCCTACAATAATAACATATTCATTGAATATCTTTCAAAACATTCTTTCTTTAAGAATTGTTAAATTTATTTTAATGAATTTCTTTCGACATTAATACTTTCGACCAAAGTTGAGTTTACCCATAAATCATCATATTCCTAAGAAATTCCGCTGGAAGAAAAATATCAAATAACCAATTATAATTTTATCACGAATATGGGGTGATTTTAGCTCGATTTTTGTATAATTTGAGTTGAAACCTTTGGAAAATTGAATGAAAAAACGGCAATGAAAAAATGTCCGCTTAAAAGAAAGGCATAAACAAATGCCTTTAAATTGATGTGTCTTATAGGCAGATAAATGCTACTGATAATGCTCTTTTGAATGGTGAAAAGTGCAGGTCTCTATCAATTTCTATTCTCGAGTTATTCAAAAAATAGTCACACGTGCCCACTATTTGGATGGACTATAATTTGACATTTAAATTCAACTTTTTATAAAACTTTTAGATTTATTTTAAACGACTATTACATAAAAGGATCAATATGAAGACTATACTGTGCTTATTCAATGTCAATACACTATATTTTTGAAAAGCATTCGCTTTACTATATGATTGTATGCGTTTTCAGCGTTTCCCGGAAACTGAATTAAACACAAGGGTAAGAGACATAGGAGATATAAGAAATATAGAGATATACCAAGCGGGAACGAACTGACTTCTTCTTTTTGTCAGTGTTAAAGAAAAAGCTTAAAAAATTTTAAAAAGTCAAAAAAATTTTGAAAAGTCGCAAAAATCCAAAACATCCAGAAAAGTTGCTACTCAAAAAAAGTCTGATTTTCGAACTTTTTTGCCCTAATTCTAACTATTTTCTGGCAATTTGAGCGTGTAGATAAATCCTATTTGTTAAAACAGCACAATTCATATATTTAGAGAATGAGGTCAATCAACACTCACAAAATGCCTGCGTGTGTTCGTCCTTTCGCGGCACCCACACGTGATCTGAAATCTGCGTGTGTTCTCATGAAGAAGCAAGTTACAGAAGATCAAACGAAGTATACAAGATCCTTAAATTTAAAAAGAGATGTATTAGGTGCTTTGACTTATTAAAAATTTTAAAGTTTTTTGTTTAAAACTGATAAAAAACCAAAAGAATTCCGCTCGTTCCCACTTCGTATATCTTCTATATCTCTTATCATAGTGTTTAATCGAGTTTTCGGGAAGCACTGAAAACGCCTCACATGTACTATATATACAGTCAATGTTTCTAATTAGCACAGCAAGCAAAAAAAGTGTCTCTAATTAGAACACCAAGCGAAGAACAAGTAAAAAACGTCAAATTTTAAAAATCACTGAACTTCAGTCTCAACTTCAAAATTTTTAAAATTTTTCTTGGAACAAAA